TTAGTTAGAAGCTGATTCTAAGTTATGCATAACATTCCTTGGCGGATTCGGCACGCCATCCCGTTTGACAGCTGAGAGACGCTACCGGATTAAGGACAGAACAGCTTGGCTCCTTGAAGATGGCTGTCTTCCGGAATGCAGCACCGTGAAGTCTGGCGGATACTGGCCGCTGATGATGGAGGAAGTAAGCTCCTCTGAAACGTCGGTCAATCTCTACGAGACTATACGGTACAACATCCCAGAAGACAACCAGCCTGTGCCATAATCGTCGCGTTTAACCTCACCGATTTAAATGTATAGTCACATGGCAACCTGCCATTCTTGACGAGGTAAATCACAATGGCTGAGCTGCGAATTTATCAGTTGCAGTCAAAAACAGAAGTACGGCAAATTCTTTCTTTCCACAAAAATTACTTTATTTCCTATTTTACCCTCCTTTATTCCAGTTCTCTCTTTCTTCCTCAACTCACAAATCATTTCCTGTGCGATATTTATCGAAACAGTCCGGCGCTGTTTATAAAATCCCGTGACGTCATCGCTTCTGTTGGCTCCAGACTCCGGCTGACGTCACAGTCCGGCATCCACTTCAAGCTGGATGGAACTCATACATCAAAGACAAGCATCACATGTGTGGCACCCCTCTAATTATGGATTCTCCATGGAGAAAGAGCGCTATAATAGAAATTCTAAACTCACTGTAGCCAAAACAAACTGTTGGAGAATGGTTACGTTCTTAATGTTAAAAGGTGCCTTTGGGTGCAGCAGATAAAGCCCTTGTACCTCCCGCCCCACCGTAGTTCAGAATGGTAAGACTTGCATCCAGGGTGCGTCTTCGTATCACGAGTGCAAACATCCACGAAGGCTTTTTTTTTATTCCTGAACGCAAACGAAAGGAAATTCAGCGGTACTGGAAGAACCGCGGAAGAAGAAAGGAGAATTCTCCTGTTACGACGCAGTGAAAAGTAATTTAAATGCGTGCTTTAGCGTCCAAAAACTCGACGTCACGCCCACATAATGTAGCCTACGTACAACTAGCGTGTGATTTCATCGCTTTCATGAACAATAAGTCTTAAACCGAGAGGGCTGCTGTAACGGCAACTCTACAGAACTATATTTAGCAGGCACCGACTTCGAATCCCAAAATGAACGACAGGATTTTCGCCGTTTTCTCCAGTTCCTCCAAGATGGCTCCCAACATTTATCACAACCAGTTCTTACCTTTCTTACCCTTTCATGCTTCACGATCGATACATCACTCGATCTTACATAACTTCAACTTTAAACGACGTCGTTAAATAATAAAAAAAAAACATGACGCTTTGGTTGTGTAAGTTCTTTATATTTTGGACTTTTGTCGATCAACTTTTGTGTATTAAAACCACAACGTTTACAGGTAGTGTTCATCTTCTGTCCTACGTTGACCGCGTAAGAAGAAATCCCCATTCTATGCAGCTAGCCCCTTGGTGAACATTGACTCAGACAAGGTTCAGTGTAAGAAACATTCGGGTTTACTGACTAGCTGAGCAACTGACTGGTTCTCAAGAAATACCACGGAACTCGTACTAATGATCAGCCGATTAATAACAGCCTAGGTAAATAGTTAACTGACTTCACTGTCCCATTATTAAGTTGCCTGCTTCAGTGTCAGCCGAAACGCCGGACGGATCGTCACCAACACTTCTAGGTCAACAGGCGTACACATTTTAACTAAACAAGTTGTGTTTGTTGTGCCATTCAATTTGTCAATTCGACCGACGACAAAGATTGCCAATAAAATGTTTATCTGCATCTCATCGGAGCCATGACAGTCAAAAGAGGCAATTTCCTTAATTCTGTCAAGTGTCCGCACTTAACGTTCCTGCCTCACGACACGGCTTTTGCTAGCAAAGTTTCTGTCCCTAGAACCGCCGAAAACTGACGGCACCGGCTTGGAAAATATTATTAAATCATAGCAGTAAGATATGTTAGTACGACGTAAAGGTTTAAGGTCTATTACTCTGAAGAAAAAAAAGGTTATAACCAAAAGAGATAGTAGGTACTCTAAATAACCCCCGGCATAACCATGTGACAATGGACAGACATGACCCGAAAATATTTGCAGCCAAGAGAGAGAAAATAACCTTCAGATGAGGGCGGCATGATCATGTCCGTCAGAATTCTTCTAGTAGTATCACAAAGCAAAGGTGGATTGGGTGACTTGTTGCCCTGATTATGGAGGCAGTAAGATCCTCTAAAACCTCGGTCAGTTTCTACCCCTGATTATGGAGGCAGTAAGCTCCTCTAAAACCTCGGTCAGTTTTTACTAGACTAAGAGGCGAAACATCCCAGAAAACAGCCAACTTCATAATCACCGCCGTGAGAATTTGGTATCTAAACTACACGAGAAGTCTAGACGCCCCGAACAAACCTTGTGACTATGTTTTGCAAATTCAATCTTGAGTTCCCGATGAACCAAACCCGCATAGCACCGAGGCCTGTTACCATCACCCGGTATCAGGGACTCACTTTACAAATTTGTGTTATATCCTGTTACAGTGGTTTTGGCACCTGTGGATGTTTAAGTTGGCGGGAAATCTGAAGCTCGCGTGGCCATGACAACGACGTGATTGTTCAGGTGTTATTCCACAGATACATACGATGGACAATTAAAGCAATTCATCTCTAAAGTGAATAGTCAATTTACTTAAGCACACACTTAGTACACAGTCTAACGTTTTAAGTTGCTTATACAAAACTATAAATTTATCCGTTGTGTTATAAGAGTGTAGGACGTTCGAGTCTGCCATTCTGAGTGAAGTACAAAGTCCTAGGTTGTTTCTCGACAAAACGATGCGGTTAAATTATTTGGACCTACGAAATAACAAGCGTAAAAAATTATTCTCTTCACCTAATAAACTTAGGGCGGTTAAATCAAGGATGATAAGATGGGTGGGACATGTACGAGGCTCGTCCACAAAGTAAGTTTCCCTGGGGCCGTTTACAGAAACAAAACATAATTTCATGGAAATATTTATTGCAACAGATACAGCAAGTGTCCAGCTATTTTTCAACATATTCGCCACCGGAATTGAGACATTTGTCATACCGTGGGACCAACTTTTGAATACCTGTGTCGTAGAAGTCTGCCGCCTGGGATTGGAACCACTGTGTGACAACCATCTCCGCCTCTCTGTCATTCTCAAAACGCTGACACTGACCGGACAGGAATTTCTTGAGGGGTAGGAAAAGATGGAAATCACTGGGAACGAGGTCCGGGCTGTAGGGTGAATGATCAAACACCTCCCAGCTGAACTCCTGCAGGAGACTTGCTGTCCGTCGAGCCGTGTGCGGCCGAGCGTTATCACTGACCGCACTTCACAGTCGGCGGGAGCTGGAATAAGAACCCCCATCTTCAACAGCTGCAACGATGCTACTGTGAGAACGCGGGAAGTACCGTTAGTGCATGCGCCATGCTACGTCATTGCTCTATCACGTACGCACAGTCGCTTCGCGCAATATAAGGTTTGCTAGCTGTGGGACGAGTGGGAAACTTACTTTGTGGACGCGCCTCGTAGTTTGCATTGCAGAACAACAAACTTCCGTATGAACGTCGTCGTCGAGCCCCGCTTCGTATTCGGGAGGTCCCCGGTTCAAACCTCGGCCCAGAGACTGGGGTTTTTCGTACTTTTAATCAATACCTCCAAGAAAATGTCCGGATAGTACCTTAAAGAAGGTAGACCGCTTCCTTCCACATCCTCTACAATTCTTTATTCACGACCATCCTCCCATTCGACGCTGTATAGTCTGATCTACTGAAAAAGCGTATTTTCCACAAATTATAATATAAACAGACTTCCTTAACTTGGCTCAGAATTGTTTTATGTTATCAATGTTAAACGACCGTGTTCTGTGACCACAGGTTGATGATATGATGAAAATAATACTGCCGACAAGAACAGTAATGTCAGATAACATATCTCAGTCTAATTTTTATTCGCCGAAACGTCAGCAGCTGGACTGCCTTCCGTCCATTCACACATATAGATGGCTTTTTTAAGTCTGGAGAGGGGTAAAATGGCTGGAGGGGAAAGTCATATATCGTCACAGCTACACTAATTTTCTGCGTCTTTTGAAAAGAAAATTCTTTAAAATTAATCATTCGAACCGTCAGATGGCTCCAGTATGAGAAACAAGTGTAACGACATTATTACAAATTAGTATGGAATCTTCTGAGGAACATACAATTTGTATGACCCCCGCGACTAACTTGCATTAATTCGCATGCTTTAAACTTAATTACACACGCAACAGTTGACACGATGTAGGCCGAAAGTGACAAATAGCCGTTCTATGAATAATCCAGAGGGAGTTTTATAGATTCCAGACATCCTGGTGGCATTTCCACACCGCCCAGAGCGTGTCTCAAGGAATCCGTGTTTCCTTTCGGATTCATTTGTACCAAGTAATTATATTAGGCCTTGTATAAAATTATAGAACACTTCTCACATTTTGGCTATAGAGTGTCCCACGTAACTCTGAACCCACTCGATGTCATTTGATGTTGGTCACGTTTCTGTCAATGATTATCAACGAATACCACCCTGCCTTCGGTAGCCCGCATGAACCCACGTGATGGATGATAATTACACCCTCAGCTGACATAACCACGAGTCATTAAAACGCCTTTTAATTTATCTTGACTCGGTAAAACACAAGCGACCCATTTGTCATTATCTGCGTGTCCTAGAGGCATCTAATATGCCCTGAACTGTTATGTTACACTAACCATACAATTTTCTCATAAAAATTACACATAAATATTTTCTCCAAAGTTTTGTGTATACTAGTACCGAATTACTGCGGTCTGCAGTTATATATCGCAGTCTCTGGCCGTAAGAAACATCTTTTTTTACAGCTTGCATTGATCGCCCTAATCTCTGAAACGTCGGCCAGATTCTACGAGACCACAGGGCGCAAAATTCCAGAAGACTCCTTTCTGACTCGTGCATTTCTGTTCGCAGCTCCGGCCGGAGTTCATCTGCGTGTGATAACGACAAGGGAGCCGCGGCAGGACCGAGCTCTGCTCTGGATTCCAGCTCAGAGTCCGTGGACGGCGATCAGAAACCCCCATCGGGACTCGACCACCCGACCTCCCAGGCCATGCTTGCTCAGGTATGCACAAAAAAAGAGAGAGAGAGTAAACAAGACAAGATCTGCCTGAAACGGAATCCGCTTTAAAGAGACGTTGTTTTAACCGGCAGTTTCTCCCGAGAATTTGAAGTGAAAGCCGTTCAACGCGGTACCCTTGGGGGGGGGGGAGACTAAATAAAATAAAATTCAGGTGCGTGGAAATTTTGTAATATAAATTTATTCTGTCTTGTGCTTTCCGGACTTTGTTTAAGAAAGACCAGTCTTGTCACATATGGGCATTAATTGAATGTTTTATGAAAATCTAAGTTTTACTATCGCATTCATTAAAGCACACCAATGAACCTTTTTTTTTACATATTAATTCCATCTCTTCTCACATCTCCCACGTAAACTTCTCACGTTGAGATCTTGCTATCAAATCAATATATATTAAGTTGCAAAAGTCAATTATTAATACGATATTTTTTTGTCGAAGTACCGTTTGTGCATTGTTAATCGAACAGATTAAATTACAGTCACGAAATCTGCAATCATTTCCCACTTTTAGAAGTGAATATATGACATGAAAAGCGCGTAGTCTGTGAAACGCTGCAGTGACCAGTTAGTTCCTTTTTGAACTGTTTCAGGATCCAGTTCCTCATCACGGCACAGAACTTTTCAGCAGCGAGCTGAAGCCCAGTGTGACCAGTCTTCAAGCTACTGTCATGTCTAACGCAACGCTGGCTGCAGCGGCTGCGTACCAATCACAACTAGGTCTGGCTAACGCAAGGGCTGGCGTCAGTCCAATAGCAGACCAGCAAGCAAGTAGTTCTCTTACGCACCACCATCACCACGGAGATGCGGCGCTGCTCCACGACTATCACTCTTTGTGACAGTGGGTGGCTGGCTACGGTTATAGCCAGTGAGAAGAATGTTGATATCTCTTTTATGTATCATCACAAGGGACATAACGTAGTGGAAACGTTTTAAAATGAGTTGACCTCAATTTCTATTCCATCGCTAGTAAGTTAGTCGAAAATTTTGTTGTTCCGTTTGTGTTTGTAACGAATGTTACCAGACTTAAAACCACTAAATGAATGGGTAGTCAATTTGGCAATGCAGAATATGTACGTCTTAATCTAGCCTCTTCTGATAGCTTTTAATGCAAGGATGCACATCGCTGTG